ATATTATAGAATGTATATATATATATATATATATATATATTGCTGTTTTAAATGATCATTTTTTCCTATCAATTGTTTTCTTAGATATAAAAAATTTTAAAAACATGATTGATGCATGTGTGTCCACAAGCTTGGGGGCATGTGGGAAAGAGGAAAGAAAGAAGGAAGGAAGGAAGGAAGGAAGGAAGGAAGGAAGGAAGAAAGCAAGCAAGCAAGAAAGAAAGAAAAGGGAAGGAAAAGGGAAGGGAAGGGAAGGAAAGAAAGGGAAAGGAAAGGAAAAGAAAGGAAAGGAAAGGAAAGGAAAGGAAAGGAAGGAAGGAAGGAAGGAAGGAAGGAAGGAAGGAAGGAAGGAAGGAAGGAGTAAGAGTGAATGGAAGAAGGCAGAAAGAAAGAGAAAACAAAGAGAAAGAGGACGGGAGGAAGGGAAAAATACAGAATGATTAATCTTGCCCAATGAACTTTGCCAAATTCAGGTCTGGAAGTGACATTCAACCTTGGATAATCACCCACTTTGCCCATGCCTCACGCATCAGGTCAAGATAGAATCACCCAATCTCCACTTGGGTGGCCACTATCATTTCCAAATGTTCTCATGACACAACTTTTTTTTAAAAAAAAAAAAATCCTTCAAGTTCACGGTAAAAATTGTGCATTTTTCTGACAGTCGAGGGAGACGCTGCCGTGGCCATGCAGTTATGTGCAGAAGAATATTGTTGATTGCTAGGAAAACCACTGGAGAACTTCTTGTTTTCCTTTGTCGGAGAAAGCCCTAAGACCACCACAACGGTGGTGTCACCACAGAGCTCTGTTTTGCAGGTGCCACCGTGTGGAAGGTTCATTACGTGACTCCCAGATTCTACCCGGAGGGGAGCGGCGCCTGCCACGGGAGTGGGGTGTGCCCATGTTCCGGGGATGTCACCTACCACGACCCTCCTCTCCTCTTCGACATCTCCAGGGACCCCGCCGAAGCCTGGCCCCTGAACCCCGACAACGAGGCCCTATTCGATCCCGTGATCAAGAGGGTGGAGGCGGCCATCCAGGATCACCGCAGCACGCTCACGCCCGTGCCCCAGCAGTTCTCCGTGTTCAGCACGGTCTGGAAGCCGTGGCTGCAGCCCTGCTGTGGGACCTTCCCCCTCTGTGGCTGTGACAAGGAGCACGACATCCTGCCCAAGGCTCTCTGAGCCAGCGGGGCCACTCGTTACGCAGCGCGAACTCACTGTTACCACGGCGGCAGGGCCAAAGCCCGCCGGACTCGTTCATTGCGTTTGGGATAAAAAAAAAATAATAATAATGATGTTTTCAACTGTCGTTATGTTCTCAGACATCAATTCTTCCTTCACAGGGCGTGGGGGAAACGAAAACAGGTCCGTACGACAGCAAAACCCTCCTTTCTTCTTCCCTCTTCAGACAGCAAAACCCTCCTTTCTTCTTCCCTCTTCAGACAGCAAAACCCTCCTTTCTTCTTC